CCCGGCGCCGCGTGAAATGGTCGTCGACGTGGTCGCGCACAATCTCATCATCTTTGGGCGCCTTCGATGCGGCGACGCGAGGTTGACACGAACCGATCCTTGAGGCGCGTTCACTAGCTCACAATGGCATACTTGCGCGCGCCGTGCACGGCAAGCGGGTGGTGCGAGCAAGAGAAGGCGCGGAAAAAGCGCAAAAATCTCGAGCCCGTGTGTCTCGGGCAAACACGGAAACTAGTCAATTAGTCAATCTGTGAGACCCAAGTAGCGCTAAAGACCTGTGGTGCCTTGCGCCAAACGCGAACGAGCGCAGCGCTGACGCCTTGGAGAACAAGATAAGTGCCGAGTACGACGAGGATCATAGGCGCACGGCCACGGTAGGTGGAGGGCTAAAAGCTCCACTCGATTGAAATCGAGTAGAGATCGCATCTGGCGCACCGCTGAGTGAGAGGTTCGCGGGGCGAGAGGTCGCCGCGGTCTCAGTGCTGGCTGTCGTGTGTAAGCCGTTGGACGTCAAGCGTGAGGTGCTCGAGATGAGCGCCATTTGACTCTGCGCCACGAGATGACGAGCACACTCCAAACGCGACGCAGCGCGCGCAGCGCCAAATGCAGCGCCGGTGGCGTGGTCTCGTCGCGGCGCCCATTTTGGAATGTATTTCCCTTGCTAGCGGTGTCCGGCTATTTATCCGGATGCCTCGAAACGACGCCACAAGCACGACAAGGTCGAGGCGAGGCCATCGTCCGCATCTTCGCACAAACGCTCGAGGTTGTCGCTGTTAACGTTTACCTAGGCGCGTCGACGGCTGCGACGCTGCTCAATGCGTTACTGGTATGATCAATCGAGCTTGGTGATCATCGATACTCGACGCAGACCCAAGCCAATTCGCGTGCTTGGCGACGCAGCGATCTTTGCTTACCTGGTGAGCCATCGTCCTGTACTGCAGGGATGCGCGGCCTCGGCCACACGAGTTTCACCGTCCACGGTCGACAGGACACGCGCTTGCGACCGCCCTACCGTGCGACACGGTGCCGTGCGGTCGAGGCCCGAATCGCAAATTGCGGAATGAGCACCGCTCAAGGCTTCTACAATTCTCTTGTAAAAACTTTGCGTTTCTCCTTTGTCGTGCTCGCTTTTACACTTGTTTTTACACGACTGAGCATTTGCGCCAAGATGGGACATTCTCCGAGTGCCACGTCATAGGAATCGAT